AACATCAAGTGGTAAGTTAAGTAATATCTCATATATGCAGAATTGATAAACAGAAAACATACCTGTGCTTCACTGACTATAGGGTTGCAGAGAAAATAGAGAGAAGAGAGAAAATGGTGAAATGAAGCATAAGAGAGACGAGGGAGAAGGGGGAGTCAGTTTAGGGTTTTTTTAAGGTTAAAATAAATTGAAACGGGAGAGAGGGAGTAATGACGAGGATGAATGAGGGAGGGTACGAGAAATGGAGGGTATGAGAAAGAGAGAGAAGGTGAGAGAAAGAGGGAGACGATAAAAGAGAGAAAGAAAATTGGAAAGAGGGAGAAAGTGAGGGAAAGGGGGAAGACAAAGTTTTCAAAAAAAATGTTGCCACTTGGCAAAATTGGACCATGCTATTGGTCAATGGTTGTGTATTTTGTTAATTACCAAAAAGGGCATAGTGTAGTCTAAATAAAAAATGAAGTGAAGGGTAAATTAGTAAAAATGGTGGCATTTTATTGTAATGGGTAGGTAGTTGAAGTGCTATATGGAGAGACTTGTCGCCTCATGCCTACGTACCCACAAAGTGCAATATAGGATCAAAACCCCGTAGTTCGTGGTACAAATAATAAAATAGATTTGTTATGGTTGATTTTAAGCGAAAAGGCAAGTCGTCATTTCCAAGCGAATAATTTTGCTTAAAGAGATGACTCATGGAAAAGTTTTTGAAAGAAAGTGCATAAGGCACAAAAGTCTTGAATGAGTTTGAATGTTTTTTATGTCTTTTTGAAAAGAGTCAAATTATGGTTAGCATTGAATGACATTTATTGAAAAAGAAGTTTGAAAAAAGGCACTTGACAAAAGTCAAGGTTTTGTTGTGAAAGCGGTTTGAAGTTTGAAAGCAATAAGGTTTTAAAAAATGGAGAAGGTTTTGAAAATTAAAGAAGGGGAAGGGATGGAGTGACTATCCTAGAAAGAAAAATAAAAGCTAGAGATAAGAAGGATCTAACCAACTTGTATCACACTCCATAGCAATCCAAAAGAATTTCATCCATCTTGAGCATAAGCAAATGAACAAGTCAAATAAAGGCAAAGATCCATAATACTCCAAGCAAAGGGAAAAAGACCTAATTCTAAGTCCAAGGGTCCAAGAATAGTCCAAGAGCATAGCCACAAAGTTAAGAGCACCAAGTTTTTAGAGGTTTAGTCCTTTATTAGTGTTTTGAAAAAAGTATGGTCCAAATGGACAAAAGAAAAATGACGGAAGCATAAACATGCGTCCAACGGATAAAGGAAAAATAGCGGAAGCATAAACAATAATATGATATGAGATGATAAGCATAAAAATAAAAGAGAGATAAGGAGCAAGAAGGAAACATAAACAAAGTTAGTACAATGATATGGTTAGTAAGTTAGTGATTAGTCGTTAGAGCAAATGATCAACAATAATCAACTCTTGCACTTAGACCAAGTTTAATGAAGGCTCATTAGAGGATTGATAAAATCAAAGCCTCCTAACAACAAGCTTCATAAGTGATGGACTTAAGACAAGTAGTAAATCATGCTTGGACTTTCAAACATAGGTTTGAGTCACGAATTATCACTTTCCGATTACGGGATAATGTAGCGCTATATTAAGCAATCGCAATCGGGTTTATGTAGAAACCACGACTATCTGAGGTCGGTCAATACAATGTTAGTGCTAATGCATGCTAGAGAAGTGATATGTAGATCACTCTCCGAAAGCAATACCGCACAAAAAGAAAAGAGGTAACAATCTCATCTTCATCAAGAACTTGAAATAAGTTCAAAAGATATCAAAGATTTTCATCGATCAATAGAAAAAAGAGAAGGGGATGGGGAATGCTAAGTTGAATTACAAGTTCAAGATCATTCCATCTTTAAGTTCATCCACTCATCTTGGTGGATTAAAGTACTAAACATATCATTAACTCAAAGCACCTAAAATGAATTGAACAATTCACTTTAAAGATAGATTTGAATTAATGAATGTTTATCCAACTTCATCTACACCCTAAGTCCAATGAATTTAAAGAGGAATATGACCTTTAAAAGAGTATTTCATGGTCAAAACCAAAAGGGAATGAAAGAGGAAGAGGTGAAAACCAAAATAGACCCAAAATACAACCAAAAGCTCAAAAATAACACTGAGTAACCGGTTACCCTATATAAGGTAACCGGTTACTCTGCAAACAGCAGCGAAAAATCAGCAAAAACAACATCAAAACAAGGCCAAAAAAGAGCAAAAACTTAATCAATCATTTCTACAAACACCTCATGATCAAGGGTGCAATTGAGCACGAAAATTCAAGTAAAATAACAACAATTAATCACCTTCTCATGGTCTTAGAACCATAAGACTGGTCAATCACTCTCTTGTTTCTCGATGAGTGACGCTGATGTGAGAGAATTTTGCAGTGGAAATTCTTCCTTTTTGAACATATCTCCACTGATTGCATTCACGACAAATACACAAAGTGATCTTGAACTAGAGGATTCCGAAGTACTTTTGGAAATGAGATCTGAAGCCGCTTCCATCTTAGTGTAACTGTTAAAACAGTCAATGTTTGAATCATAAGAGATTTGATTGAATCAAATAGTTTTGATTGAGTCAAAAGAGATTACTATGACAATTTGCATGAATGAAAAGTCAATTCCCACATATGCCACCATTGTTCTATTAAGAAACCATAATTAGTGATGAATATATAAGGTAGATTCTCGATGCGGTGATGCATATTTTCGGTGCTACCGTGCGAGTGTGAATCTGAAAGATTAACATTCCAACCATAATTAGTGATGAATATATAAGGTAGATTCCCGATGCGGTGGTGCATATTTTCGATGCTATCGCGCGAGTGTGAACCTAAAAGAGTAACATTTCAACCTTCAATGAAAAAAAAATGAGTGTAATCAAAATCATACTTTAGACTACACATGTGATAATTGATATAAACTCTTTTAAATAACCCATTGTAATGTTTAGTATACTCAGTACAAATACACAATATATTTTCTTTTTATTTTAATTTTGGATTTAATTGTTATGCGCTTACAATAGAAAAATATTTTACACTATAATCTAATAGAAATATATCATTATGTCATATTATATAATTAATTTAAAATTTTTAGTATGACTTAGCAGAATGTATGGTCGTTATTGATTGACAGTGTAAAAAAAATTTACACTGTCAGTGCATCACCTTTTTTTTCCTTTACTTTTAGCATTACACACAGAATTACTTTTACATAATAATTATTATGCATTATTAGTGTAAAATACACGATCAATACAACACAACTATTCACAAATGATACTTTACATGTGATTAAAAAAACTAAATATTAATAAAAGTTTAACGACTATGATTCACTAATGGTGTAAAAAATTTTACAATATATTTTAATTAAAAATTTTAATTTTATCCAAGTGGCATGACCAATTTGCTCCTATTTATTTTATAATTAAATACAAAATTATTAAAGTAAATGATCCATAAATTTCAGATTTTTCAGTCTTAAAAATTGAGAGTAAAATTATAATTAAAAAAAATGATGGGTGAAGTTCCAAATAAAATAAAATTTTCATACGTTGACTATAGAAAATTTTAATTTTTATTATTGGTAGAAAATTCGAAATTTTGAATCTTAATTTAAAAAGATTACTACGTGTTATCTTGATTCTTATTGGTCGAAAAAATGGAACCCGCTATTTCTGTGCTTCCGTGGACAAATCACAAAATAAAAATGTACTAATTTTTTTTAAAGAAATTCGAGTCTCTCTTCCTTGTCTGTCACTCCCTCCGTCGGACTCCAACCTTCTGCCGCCGCTTCTCTCTTCATCTTCATCTCTTGGTTTGTTCTCTTCTCCCCGTTAACCTTTTCAATTTCCCCCAATTTTATTTTAACAAAACCCTAGATTTATAAATGAATCTATCTTAGTTTTTTTTTCTTTCCATTTCATGCGATTGGGGATTGAAATAGCTAGTTGTATGGATCTATAATGTTCAAGCAGTTGCTTTGTTAAAATTCTGAATGTTTAGATTTTCTAACATAATCAATTGATAAGGCAGAGAAAAAAATCATGAATTCGATTACTGTGTTTCAGAGATGAGAATGTCGTGTTGGACGTGTGATAACACTAGACACGATAAGACTAGAAATGACAATATTAAAGAGAGAGTTAGAGCAGCACCTTTAATAGAAAAGATGGTGGAAAATAGACTTAGCTCGTCTAGACATGTAGAGAGAAGACTTGCAGATTTTGTTGTAAAGATGGTAGATCAAATGGAGAGGAGTCAAACAACTAAAGGTAGAGGAAAACTTAGAAAAACTATAAGAGAAGCTATTATAAGAAAGATCTCAAAATTAACGAATATGATAGAAACATGGTCTTTGATAGAACATTATGGTGTAATTTGATCCATGTAGCGGATCTCGCTTAGTGGGATAAGGTTTGGTTGTTATTGTTGTTGAGTCTTTTTGAAGTTTGAATTTCTTTTTTAGATAAACAAGTATTTATGTAGTATTATTAAAGGGGTATATTATAAGTTAGGGTGTTAGCCAAACTGGTCCCTTGATGTTTAAATTTTAACCTTGAAATTTCACTTCTGTGAAAGTGTGAGAGAAGTAATCAGAGTTGGACTGTGGTGCTTGATTCGAGGGAGTCAAGGTGAGAGTACTAATCCTTGTATTTTTTTAATACGTGGGTTTGAAATAGTTGTGATTCAGCATTTATGTGATTTTGGTGTATATGTATGTGGTAAGGTCAAATCTATGTTGGGTTTACATGACACGGTGTTTGATTTGGTGAAATTGTTTGAAATGTAAGCTGTGTTTACTTGACAAGGTGTTTGATCAGGCATCTTTCAAAGAAGTTGGTTAAAATTGGAATACATATTGTCATTCTTCTTTTCATATGTATGGTCATAATGATAATTAACTTTCAAATAGTTTGCATCTGCTGACCCGGGGTCCTGAACACGCTACTGTTTGGGAAGATGAAGGGAGTGTTTTGGTTTCTAGTTGTATCAGTGGTGGTTGCAACATGGATTCCTCTCTCACACTCAAAAAAACTGGCTGCAGTCGCTAGAAAGGAGGACGTACCTTACATAAAGTGTCAAGTTTGTGAGATACTCGCGAAACAGTTGTATCAACAAGTTCAGAACAAGCGAGCTGAGATTTCTCCCAAAAAGGTTTTTTATTTGTTCTTTTTTGTTTTTTAATGTTTATTATAGTGTAGTTTTTTGTGTGTAGATGGTATGCACTAGAACTGTTTGTGCGTGTTTTTGGTTGTTAGATTTCGGAATACCAAATCATTGAGATAGCAGAGAATGTTTGCAATCTGAAAAAAGTTGAAGCGGATTGGATATTGCGTATAGATATTGTAGAAAAAGAAGATAGGTTGGAGGTAAGAGGATCCAACTATCCAAAATCTCTGATCAATAATGACCTGTGGAGTTTTGTTTTTTTTTAGTTTGACATTGCTATGCCATTTTTTTGTGTTTATCAGCTGGTGGAGCATGACTCTGAAGGACAGTGCGATTCTGAATGCAAGACAATTGAGCGTGCTTGTCAGGATGTTATGGGATATTCTGATACTGACATTGCTGAATATTTATATACATCCAAGCATGATCTTGATTCATTGTTCAACTATCTATGCAAAGACCTTAGTAAAGCATGCAATACCAAGCCACCCCCTGTCCCTAAGGTAACTATAATATGAAATTTGATGCTCCTGATTGTAAGTTTGTGATTAATATCTTCAAATCTTCTTTTCAGTAGTATTCATTTTGCAGATACTGCTGTTTCTTTGCTCTGTATAAAATATCATGTTTTACTCCGCATAGCTATCTATTTTTTAAGACAATGTTCATTCGTTTGGTATTTGCTCATAGCACAGGGACAAGTCACCCTTATAGAATTTAATTGCTCGTAGCATTGGGACAAGTGACAAGTCACTCTTATAGAATTTAATTTCTCATGCACCTAGTATTGTGGTTTGAATTAGGTATTTCAGTTTCACCCTTAGATCTATTTGCTTAAGTTTCATCATAAGGTCCTTTTGTGTGTTATAGGATAGGACACCAGGTGAACCATTTGTTGCAAAGTCTGCCAAGGAAGCTGAAATGGAGAAGCTACTAAAATCTATGGAGGTATTTTAACTTTTCTTCTTATTTTATATCTCAAAAGGAGTATTATGTATAAATTCTACCATCTGAGTTAAAGTACGACTAAAGGGAATTTATCCTTTCTTTTACATGATTTATTATATGCTGGTAAATACATTATGATCATACCTTATTTAATTCTGCTTCAGGGCATGCCAGGCGCACCCGGCATGAAAATGTACTCAAGAGAGGATTTAATGAAGAAAAATTTCGGTGCTGAAAATGAAGATGACGAGGACGAGAGTGACGATGAGGACGACGGCTTACCTTCAAACTTGGTACAACTATCTATTTCTTTAATAGTGATTGAAATTTGTTTTTCTAAAGATTTCTTTGACAATAAAATGTTTTTGAATAACTCATATTTGGAGTAAATTTCAACTTGTAGGGAAACGTTTTGAGATCAAAAGAAAAGAAAGAAGGTGACTGGAAGCAGAAAATAAGAAAAATAATTGTGGACACAAGCACTACCCTTAAGAAACATGCAACCAAAGTTTCGTATCGTATACAACGGTGGTGGAAAGGAAAGAAGACAGCCGCTTCAAAGAAGAGTTCGAAATCAGAGCTTTAGAGCTTCATAAACTCACTCTGCATCTTCTGGTTCTGAAAGATCTTCAAGGCATTTCCACAATGTTTTGTTCAGGTACTACAACCTAAGATAGATTAGACATAGGAATATTTGGAACAATCAAATGAGAATTTTACAATATCACTGAGTGATTCATATTCTAATCAAGGATTTTGTTATCTACATGTATTTTATTAGTGAGGCAATTATGTATGAAGGCTAAACTACAGTGAGGTTTAATGACATTCTTTTTTGAAAGTTTTAACAATCAATTTACAGTGTTTCATCACCACAGAAATAGTTAATGGAGTCTAAAATTTTAAAGTACTATTAAAAGATTGAAAACCATTATATTATTGCTATCAATCTAATAAATTATATAATCTCAATAACTATTAAAAGTGTTTTTAACTTCAAATATTAAATATTTTTACATGTTGCTCGCTCCCTTTATAATCGTCTTTTGTGTTATTTAAGATTATGACGGATAAGTTAAGTAATACAATCAATATTGTAGATTTTTTATAAAAAGTAATATAGTCTCATAATATCTCTATTTGCTAATGTCATTTTTAAAACTCATACATCACATATTTATATATTTAAAAATAAGACTCGTTTGGCAACCTTCATTTTTTCACGAGTTTGAAAGTTTGTTTTTATTATCATTTTTTATAAATTATTTTTAATTATTATTGAAGTGTGGAATTTTTTTTTGGTAATAAAGGTATTGAGTGACTCACAACCTCTTTAATAAAAGTATAAAGTAAGTAAATGACAAAATAAATAGTGAAAAAACATTTTAGTTCTAATTTATAAGAATAAAATAAATATATAAAATTGTGTAAATTATAGGAGAGATTAAACTTATAAGTCATACGATGAAGTAGGTATCATATTTGCTAACAAAACTTACGCTTAAATTGCATTGACTCGAAGGCGCGTGATATAAAATTGTAAAGAATAATGAGATTATGATTGTTGAGTTATCAAAAATATGTATGAAAGAATATAGACTAAAATATGTATAAAAGGTTATTGACTAGCGTGCAAATTCAGAATGAAAAGACAAACCATTTTCCATTATAATAGGACTGCATCAAAGTTTAACCCTTTAACTTTAATTTTGGATTATAATAGGATTTACTTGAAGAGACAAATGAGGATTTAAATGAGAAGTGGAGACGAGACTTAGAACTGCATCAAAGTTTAACCCTTTAACTTTAATTTTGGATTATAATAGGATTTACTTGAAGAGACAAATGAGGATTTAAATGAGAAGTGGAGACGAGACTTAGAAATGCATGGTTTTCACCTAAGTAGAAGTAAGTCGAAGTATAATTTCAGTAAAAAAACACTTTTATAATTTAGAAATGAAAGCTAGACCATATCATCTCACAAGTCACACAATTTGAATTCTTGAATCCATATTACAAAATAATGGAGAAATATAAGAAAAAGAAAATCATTGAATTATATAAGAAAAAGAAAATCATTGAATTCATGTTAAGTGGCCAAAAGGGAGGACTTCAAAAAAAATTTATGACACGTAAGAATAGACATAATAAATTTGAAAATGACAATTTTAGAGAATATTTAAGTAACATTACACCTATATTAGAAAAGATAATTGAAAAAGATAATTGAAAATAGATTTAAGTAGTTTGAATTTGTCGATTATAGATTCCGTTGGTAGGATAATATATCAAAAAGAAAAGAGTAAATCAAACCGCAGAAAAGAAAGATCTAGAAAGACTATAATTTGAATAATGAAGAAACACTGAACAAGAGAAGGATGTTGATGGTGCGGAAGAATTTAGAGATCTTAAAGAAACCCGTGGATACTGTAAGGGTGGAGGTGATTGAATCATTGATTAGAACTATCGCAGTAATAAACAGGTTTGTAATCAAATTAATGACACTAAATCTTCCTCAATTTAAACAGTTGATTTGCACACTATAAAATTGGCAAACTTGAGCCAATATATTTGATGAAATCATCCTCTGAAAAAACAAATGAATTGTAAACAATAAATAGAATTTCAAATTTCATTGTTACATTCATCAGAAGGATAAGAACAGAATTGGGCACAAATATGAAAAAGAATTCAAATGAAAATACAACTAAGTTACAGTTCTTGATTGGCAGCTTCAAATTGTTTTCAAAATTTCACAAAACTGGAGAGCATTAGAAAAACAAGATTTAACGCATCTTGTAATACTGAACCCTCGAAGAATTGCATCGCCTGCCATTCAATGCATACTTGAGCATTATATCAACGTCGCGAGGATTCTTTTTATTTGGAGCAACAGTCAAGCTCCCTACAATTGTCTCCCCTTCACAAATGGTCAAGACATCTTCCAGATACAGGACGGTTTGTTTCCAATGTGTACCTCGTGATCTTGGCCCTGCATATATAAGGGTAAGTTCACACTCACCATTAAAATCTACAACAAAGACCAGATGACAAATAGGAACTGTTCAAAGAACTCGTGCATATAAGTTTTCAGCAACCGATTCTCAGAACAAATACATGCAACATATTCTCGGAACAATGTACCATACCACCACCACAAATATAGAGAACTAAAGAAGAAAGGAATTAACCTGTTGAGAAGCCCATCAATTTATGACACTTTGTAAATGATACATCAAAATACGCCACAAGAGCATGAATAAAATCGTCACGAGAAGCTACAAGCTTAAAAGGTGCTGTGAATGAGCAATCTCCTGAAGACATTTTTGAGATGTCCATTGTCTGAACAGAGATGAACTAGTTAGTGCTTGGCAGAACTAACAATAAATTATTGGAAAATGAAAAATTCACTGTTGTGAACATTATATGAAACATACATTGCAAACATAAATGCATCATAAGAGCTGATATTATAAAACCAACCTTGAGTAGCTGACAGTTTGTTGCAATCTGATTCTGATCAACTGTGTCAACAAGAGGCTCTGACAAGGCTTGCTTCTTGATGCAGCTCATGTCAAATCCATATACATTGTTCCAAACTGGTATGGAAAATGAAAACATAATTAAAATAAAATGAAAAATTAAAAACACCTAAGGACTCAAATGTCATTTCTGTTTTTATAAACAGCTAGAAAATTTAACAATTTCAACAGTAGAAATCAGCATTAATACATCAACTATGTATTCAAAATAAAACACGAGGAAGTTGCATTTCAGTTTGGGAGGCAAATAAGTTTTGCTTGGACATTATTCAAGTATAAAATACTCGTAATCATATTTAGCAAGGGGTAAATGGCTCACACTCAATTTTATCTTCTTTGTAGTCTTTATCTTCAATTGCAGTGAGATGCAGGGTTGCTATATCGGGTAGCACAATGCCATCATCCACCTATGCAAAACGAAGGAGAGTGTCAAAGTGATACTCGCTAAATTCTAGTACAAGCACTGTTAACAAGAATAAGAAAATTGTTACTTACAAGCCATTTATCGCGTGCATAGAGCACAGAATTTAACATATTCTCAAACAACAAGAAATATCCCATCCATTCAGAAATGATTATATCAACTTTAGGAACAGGAAGTTCAAGTTCTTCAATCTTCCCTTTCAAAACTGTTATAACTGCAGAAAACAACGTTATAGTGTAATTATAGTAAGCGGCTTTCACAATCAATCCCTCCGCCAAAAGGGAATATATTGAAAATTCAATATACAATAATAATACAAATTTATCGATGATTCTACCTTTAGAGTAACCATTAGTTTCAACTATCTGCTTTGCCATGTCAGCCATATCAGAGCATTCAACCTGAATATGCAAAATTTAAAATGGTTGAACTAAATATCGTCGAGATACATGACAATTTATAAATTTCAGATATCTTCATGAGTTCATGACTAAGAACACAAATAGTAATAAAATGAAAGTCAGAAACTTACGGCATAGACATGTTCTGCACCTGCTTTGGCACAGAATAGTGACAAAATCCCAGTTCCGGCACCAACATCAAGAACTACTTTATTCTTGAATAAAAACCTATTCTGATAAATAACATTTTGATATGTCTTGGTTCTAACAGTGTCCTTCAACATTTCCTACAGCGCAAAAAAAACGGTTAGAGCATATCTTTTTCATATCAAGCATGATAAGAAGTTCATCCCATAACAACATAGTAAAACCAATTCTGAACAAGAAAACAATAATACATAAATCATTTTTAATAATATAAATTGGATGGTTAACCGTTTAAAAATGAGGTTAATTAAGATCAGTAGCTGATTAATGAATATAACATAACATGAGTTTGAACGGTATTAACACACCATTTTGTGTCAAAACAAAACAGCCCTTTAAAATTTTGATTTTTTTATTTATTTAAAATCTAAACTGTTTATACAAGCTGCAAATCAAAGACAAAAACAAACAAAAAAATTGAACTTGAACCAAAAGACACGGCTATCCGAGCTGAACACACTTACTTCATGAATTCCTGCAAAAATAAACAAACAAACAAACCTAATTAGCTGTCATGTTTATTTATTTAAGAACAAATACCCAAAAACAAAACACCCAGTGAAAAAAATTGGGGAAAACTGAAAAGCTAATGACTTTATTGAAATTACCAAAGTGAGAGTAAGAATCAAAGTAGTAATCAGCGCTGGTTTTGTCATTTGAATCGTCAAGTTCGCAACCACCCATGGATTGGTCAAGGTTTGAAGTTTCAGCAGCATCTTCGATAACTTCATCAGCATCCTGGAATCGAAGATGGTTGTTGTTGGTATCCATGTTTGTGTGGTTGTTACTCTCTTGATTGATTTGATTCTTTGTTTTTCGCCGACCCATCAACTACAGAATGCAAATTGAAGAATTAGGGTTTTAGCTTTTAGGTTTTATCAACGTCGCTCCCACCAACTTGTGTAAAACCTTTTAATTTTTTATTTTAAATATTGGGTTAATTACAATTTTAGGTCCATTCTTTTATCACTCACAAAAAATAGTTTTTTTTTATATATATTAAATTTAATTT